ATAAATAAAATAATGATAAACGTTTTAATAATGAAAATGAATATCACAATGATAGCCGTGAGAGTAGTGAAATCAGTGAAAACGGTGATCACGATTTTCCTGGTGATCATTGGTGACGTTAGTTGGCGCAGTCATTTAGTTGCGCAAACGGATTATCACTAACAACGTATAAAGTGAAATCGATTTTTTCAGCAGTTTCCCTCCTTTCTATTGCAAGGTTCCCATATAACATATCAAATGCATAAAATTAAAAACAAAATATTTAAGTATATTTTATGAACCTATCCTTGTTTTATGTTTCCACCGCGATATAGGAAAACATTATCACTGATTTCATTAGAATCAGTTTATACAGTCTAGAGAGCTTGTATACTCAATCTCCGATCTCAAAAAAATTTTTGGACGATTTAATATCTCCATTTAGACACGAAAGAACTTAACGAAATTTGAAACAAAACAGCAAATCTTAATACGTCAATAAATATTGTTAAGTATATAACGCAACTAGCTAATAAAATAATTAAAGTTCCGTTAGTTTTTTTGTTGTAACCTAAATGCGTAATGTCCACATTTTTGATATTAAAACACGAATTTCTTGTGGGATGTGCAAACATGGATTTATCTAAATTATTCACTTGAAATATCCCAAATGTCCACATTTTACTGACTCAAAGGACCACCTTGGATACACAATTAAATCAGTTTAATTAGGAAATTGAATATTATATAGATGGGTAAATTTAGAATATCTACCCATTTAAAACATTTGAAGTTGTTACTTTAGATATTAGACTAAGAGTTGGAATTGATTCAAAAAGTTATTAATCGTTATTAAACAATCATTTCTCAAATTTCGATTTTAAGATTCAATTTTCGGTTTCGATTAATCGATTCTAATCAATCTTATTTATAACGCGCGGACAATCTCTAAAATAAGAAATTTAATTTTTTAAAAAAACAATTTCCAAGGAAATTATTATTAATTGTACTTTTATGATAATTTAAAATAAGGTATGGACAAATGCATTTACGATGATTTATTAGAAAAATTCATGACTCAAATAAATAACAGGTAGTTTAAATAGAAATTTAGACCGAAATTTAAATTTTTTGAAAAAAATTTAATTTAAATATAATCGCGATATAAAAAATTATAAAAATAAAAAATTAAAATAAATTTAAAATTAAAAAAAATTAAAAAAATAATAACATTTTTATAACCCTAATCTTATTTATTTTATTTTAAATTTATTAAAACATTACATTTTTTTTCGTCGTGATAGCGACCCTGGGACTCGTAAAAACAAATCAATAAAAAAGAATGTTAGTCAGCTTAGCTCAGCCGCGGTAACAAACCGGACCGTTCCAACCTATATATAATATATACACTAACAAATTAAATAAAATAAATGTGTTTCATTCAAATATTAAGGCCGGCCCCTGGCCGGCCATAACCATGAATATAGTTATAATAATAAAATTTTCATTACATAGCTTCCCTAGGTAGGGAACCTAAGATTTCGCTATTTTATCATATGACCAGGGTAAATTAAGTGAGAATGAGAAGGCTAATTCATATTAATTATACTCTTTCAATTGACTTCATTCCTTTTAAAGTGTCTTTTTGTCTTTATTTGTGAAGATGGCGCGAAGCAGATGTATTTATATTATACGCGTGATTTACTGACAAATAATGATGCGGGCGAAACCCTAATCCCATTTTGGCAAAGGTCGAAATTTTTCGTTTCGTTTTCGATGCCCATTGAAACCTCCGAGTCTTGCCTGGAAACTTTACTGACAAAGAAGATGTTGAAATTGAAATATTTAACTTTATATCTATGAAACAATAACGATAAGCATGTATGCTTGAAAGGGCTATTGAAGAAGTTTATTCTGGTATGTTCCAATGGTTTTGCTTGACTTACATGAAATGGTTAATCTTGCGCTTTTCTTATCGTTGACAAACACCCTAGAATCTCTAATTACCATCGGTAAATGTGCCGTAATGAGAACAAATTCTTAATAGCGGTTGTTTATTAATTAATATCAGATGTATAAGTATGAAAAAGGGAGATGAATATCAGGTTCAGTTCGATCTTGTTTAGATGGTCGAGCTATGTGTTCTGATCCTGTAATCGCTGGATTACGTCTACCTCCCAAAGATACATTTGTGAAAAGCTTAAATGTGTTAGATTTAATTTGAACATTCATGACCGAAAACTTTCAAAATCAAGAAAAAGAAATCGTTGGAGAGATGTTTGTTGTATTGCTGATAAAATTCATGATTACGACATTTCAGGTACAGTAAAATTAATCCCCGGAGATGGCGACTATAGATCAGTAATTAGTTTAGCTCTTAAGAGAAGTTGGATTACTGAGAATTGGTTTTGTCATAGTGAATAATATATTTCATTGTGACACTACTTAAAGTAATTACCTTTATTATCAGTACGCATTGAAGTAATGGATGTCAATAATCCATAAAAAAGCAATTGAATTACGAACAATCATAGTACATATTGATGATTATTAAGAATTTTAAGTTTTCCCTTGGCATAATAATACTGTATAGACGAGATACCTTTAACATTTGTTTATAATTTACGTTTTTATATTTCTTGAAAGTTATTAAACAAAAATTTAAAGCTTTAGGATTTTTTATTAGAAAGAATTATTAATTCAAGTATTATGATACACAACCACGTTTTTAAACTTTGTACAATACTTTTGTTTAAACATTTCGACAAACTATTAAAAATTTCTAAAAAACAAGCTAAATTAGGTTAACAACGACCACAATAATAAACAAAATTTAGTAATAAATTTAAATGATTTACAACTTCATAAAAAATTAGTAGTTTTGCAGGCCACAAATAGTAATGTAACTTTTTTAGACCCTTTGCTAAAGAAATTTAGAACGTCTAATTTTCTAAATCTATATTCATGCGAGAAATGTTAAACAAATGTCAAAAATATGTTCGCTAATAAACTGTATTGAATTAAGCTGAGAAACTTAATAAACCAGAAGCTACCTATTAATTTGTTACCTGGGTTGCATAAATAATAATTTGCTTACCTTGTATTATACATTTAATTTATTTTAGAAATTTGACGACTAATTGAGATTATATGATTTAACTCAGGATTACATAACTATTATTGGGTTAGAGTTTTTTAATATAGTGTTTATAATAATTACCGATTTATTTTTTTTCAAAGCACTCCGAGAAAGTTTCCAATAAAATTACAAATTGCAAACCAATTTAAGGCAATCAATCGAATCAGAAAATCCAAAAATTCAACTAGATCAAGAATAAAAAAGGATTGTGAAAATTCCTAACGAATAAAGAGATTGAGCAACAGTTAGCTATTGTCTAATAAGAAATTCAAGATTTGCACGGCGTTTCTTATTGGAATTTGAATTTAACTTCTATAAAAAAAGAATTTGAAAGTAAATAATATTTTTCAATCAAGACAACTGAAATTAGAAAATATAAATTTATAAAGTGGATTTAATTTAAATAATGAAATTTAAGTAAGTATTTTCGAAAGACGGTGTTAGACCTGGAAATATACCGAAACCAAGCGTATAAACAAACTAAACAATTATCTCAAAGGCCTTTCCTAAGAGAAATTAAACGATTTATTATGATTCAAAGTATAGTTGATTATCAAATCAAAATCTGTATGAGGGCAAAAAGAAGTTGAAAGTGTCTTTATTAAACTGTAAAGATATAGGTCCAAGATTTCTTGAAAAACTAACTCTATTGAATCAAGGTCAATTACATGTCATTTTGTATAAAATTCTTAACTTTTACTAACTTCGTTTAATAATAATATAATTATGGAACATCTAAATAATGAAAATAAGACATGATGATAAAAATTGTCGTGCATACTTAGCCTTGTTGATCGCAGTACTGGCGTCGATAGTCATGAAAATTACCTTACATTTTTTTTTAAATAAGATAAAATAAAAAAATTTAATTGTACCACACTTTATTAACGCAACTGATGATTATTATTAATGGCGGGCATGATGGATCTATTAAGTAATTTGTTGTGACTACTTCCAAATTTACAGTTTTATATACTCGAACAACTCCATTTAAATGGACTTGTATCATAAGACGTTGATAAAGCACCATAACTTATATCATTCGGCAAATTAGTTGGAAATTTTATTTTCATTAACTTATATAATTGTAGCTTTTATTAATATAAGAATGTTAATATTTGTAAATTCCTAATTCAAACAAATATAATGAATATTAAATGATTTCACGTGAGTCAATATCGACAAAAAAAATTACAATTGGTAAATTGCGGTTGCTGCGCTTCTTATGGGAATTAGAATTTTCATTTATAGATGGTATAGAGCAAGAAATTTATTAAATTCTGGAAAATAAATTTGGCTAATAATAGAAATTGAGTCTGGTTCAGTTTAAAATCTAGAATTAATACTGGTGATATATAGCAGGGAATCTATGGCAAAAAGGATCCCTACTAATACCAGGCTGGTAGAATGACCGATATCAGGATTCTAGGATATCCTAATTATTTTTTTTAATAAAAATTTATAAATAATTCAACACCCTTCTTGTACTTTTATATATATGATTTAAAAATTTGTTCTTTATTCTTTTGCAATATTATCACTTTACTATTTCTAAACATTATAATTTTTAAATTTGTAATTTTGTATATTTTGTAATTATGCAGTTTTAATTAATTAGTATTATTAGTAAGTAATAGTTACTCGGCACGAAGTGCCGAGTAACTGTTGTATTTGCAATGCAATAAGCAATATGATTGGTTGGAATTTGCTGAGCTCCGCTCAGCAAATTCCACTTGATAATATTCTTATTGCAAATACATGTAAAGGCACGGCAGTGTCGCAGTTATGAGTTCACGTAGTGCTGAGTAACTTTTTTATCGGTTTACACAAAATAGTTTAATTTAAAAACTTTATTAACTTTTTTTATTAGCTTTATTAAACCATTTTTTTATAAGAACAAACGATATTTCACGCGTCTTGTTTTTCCCAAAAAAATTTTCTTTCTTTGATAATGTAAATGACACAAAATATTTCATCCAAAGGTAATCAATTACCCCTTGAACAACGATCAGCACTTGCGAAAGGCAGAGTTCCTCAAAACATAATTGTCAAGAAAGTGACCATAGTTTTAAAAATATTATAAAAATTGCACTTTCAATAAATAAATTAATAATTAGTTATTAAACTATATTAAATAATAAATGATTAGTAACTAATTGTACTAGCAAAAATCATCAAATAGTAAATGACCGATAATTAGTTTTATTGGTTTAGATTGATATTGCAAAAGTGTAGAACGATAACGTTAAGTACAATTACTTTATTTTTATTCAATTAAATTCTTCTGCATAAAAGGCAAACTTATTTATAAAAAATTGAATATAACAATGGTCCTCTTTTTTTAAATGTTATTCAGCTTCTTGAATTAATTTAGCAATATTATTAAAAGATTTTATTATTGATTTACATCATATAATCAATAATATTTAGATACATAAATTAAAATTAATAGAGATCAAATAGGGCCCCCGAGCAATATATAAATAAATAGGTAACAAGAAATCGGCACACATTTACTAATAGCTCTACGCTTCTCTTCAGGGCCGGCACAATGTAATGCTGGTGTGAATTCTCCAAAAAAGGAAATGATTCACATAAATTTTGGCTCGTTCTACGCAAACCCTGTATTGTTACCTTTTCATGTATTGTTCGGGGTTCTTATCAAATATATCCAGAAGTTTATGAGACTTGGATACATATCTGTAAGTAATTGTATTCTTACTTATACTTATGAAGTGAGATTATAATTCCAGTTGAATTCAGCATCTTCAATAATCTTCTTTGCGATACGATATCAACAATATCTAAGCATATTCATATATAGTTTTTGGTTCTTATCAACCCTTTGAAATCTTTTACTAAAGTTTTTTACAAGATTTAAGTTGTTTAGAAACACCTTTAGCTCCATAACTTAAATATTAGATTCAAAAAAAATTATAAAAAGGCTTGGGAATTTTTTTTAAATTTTATTAATTGATATTAATAAAAAGCATATTAAATGATAAACGCGAACAAAAAGGCAATATTGAAAAAAAGCAATATCGTAAAAAAACAAAAAAACTGATATCTGCAAATCAAAACACGTGCGCATAAATCACATGTACGAAGGTAAGATCTAATGATAATCACCGCAGTATGATGTCACCTGAGATGCAGTGCAACTAATACCGGCTTGATGATTTTCAGTTTATTTAATCAATCTATGCACACAAAGTATTTTCTTTACACAAAATAAAAAATCGCATATCTGTGAAGTGCAAAATTCCAAATAAAGGATTATAAAGAACTTGTAAAGTTTCTTTTTTTTTCGACGGCTACTGATTTAATTATCAAAAATATATATTAATTTATATATTGAAATTAATTGAAATCATGACGTGCAAAAAATATAAATTACTTTACATGTTCACCTTCATGTTAAGCTACTTATTCTTTAGAGTTGAGCCATTTACTCCTGAAGGACGTCTTGCTCATAATACATTCCTAGTTGGAGATAAGCTGTATTTTTTTGGCGGATATGTTGACAATGCTAAGTCTTGCACAAATCAAGTGTTTTACCTCGATTTATCTCAGTCATTTAATTTAGCTGCTCCACCATGGGTTTCTCTTACGCAAAATGCCGGAATGCCATTCAAAAGTTGCTGGGGAACTGCTTTATTGAATAATAAGGAACAAAGTATTTATTTATTTGGTGGAATAATGCAAAATGATCTGAATCAAGATGCTTTTGTATCAAATGTTCATTCATTCAATTTAAATTCCTTATCGTGGAATGTACCAAATATCGAAGGAATTCCACCTGAAAGACGAAGAAATATGAACGGTGTTATCGATAATACAGGAAAAATTTACATTTTTGGTGGATATGCTGATAAACTAATAGGTTCAGAAACGATAACATATTTAAATGATATGATCATTTTAAATACAGCTGAATTATCATGGGTAATCATTCCAACTAGTCAACCTGCACAACATTCTTATACCGCAACACTATTATCTAATGGAGTTATTGTATATATTGGTGGTTTAGAGATGCGTGAAAACGCTATGCGAGCAGCTGATATTACAAATATTAAGCTTTT